TGAATAAACACACATTTTTTTGTGTATATTTCTAGGGTGGTTTAAATTGGACGCTCTTTTATGGGAACACTCTTTATTTGAAGAGATAGGAACAAATGTACCACAGTGCCTGAGGGGCAAACAGGGGTGTTCCCATAAGAGAGCGACCAATTTGGACCACCCTATAAAATAGTATTATTAGTAGGTAAGTTTTTATTGGATGAATCTATCTTGCCAAGAAACTCTACCCTCATTCGTAAAATAACTCATAAAGGCCTCCCTAACTTGTTTTGCTGCATTCGTTGTATTTCCAAATGGTCTTCGTTGCAAGCTAGCCATATTAGAACCTTGTGAATTCAATTCAAAATGTGTCACACCTTCTTCCGTATCATCATAGTCTAAGCACTCTGGAGGAATATATGACTTAACTATCAAAAAGTTATGTAACATGCAGCATGCCATTACAACGGATTCAATATTTCGCGGTTCTAAATTAATGCAAGTGTGAAATATCCGAAATCTGGCAGCCAATATTCCGAATACATTTTCCACAATACGTCTAGCTCGTGATAAACGGTAGTTGTAAATTTTTTTCTCCCTAGAAGTCAAGGCTGCCTGTCGAAAAGGTTTCATTAGGTCTACCCTCAATGGAAATGCATCATCTCCTATGAATACATATGGTAGGCTTCTGTCGGTATTCCGGATAGTTTCTTCTCCAGGAATATTCAGGAGATTATTTTGTAGTTTTTCAAAAAATTTGGTATTTTGTAATACACCACCATCAGACACCCTGCCATTTGTTCCGAAATCGCACATTAAAATACGATAGTTTGCATCAACTAAGGCTAATAGCACCATGCTATTAAAACCTTTATAATTATAATAGTACGATCCGCTTCCAGATGGGGGGATGATGCTCACATGCTTGCCGTCAATGGCCCCAAGGCAATGGGGAAAGTTCCAGAGTTCCTGAAATCTCTGAGAAATGTTTCTCCAGTCTTGTTCTAGTCGTGGAAACTGAAAAAAAGACAATATTATGCATTATGCATGATAAAAATATGCATGAAGAATGTCTGGCGATAAATTGTGTATTTTTTTCATTTTTTTTTCATGCTTTCAATTTATGAAATACGATTAAGTAATACAGTTATAAAAACCATAGATATTTCCACACACAAAAAAAAACTAACCAAACTGTTCAAAAAATCTTTTGTTACAGGATAAATCACAGGCCGAAACTTTAAACACAAATGCACACAGCTCTCAAATTGAACCTGAAACCCAAGATTCTACTGAAAAAACTTCAAGTGTGGCTTCAGGTTCGCAGTTTCGCCATAGACCGACACCAAAATCTCAAAAAGCAGATGACCAAACACAGTTAACAAAAGAAGTACTAGCAACCGTCAACAACCACTTCAAACGGCCACGCACAGCGGATGACCGGTTTGACATTTTTGGTAAAAACGTTGCTATGAAACTCAGAGATTTAACCAACGATCAGAGACGCCTTGCAGAGAAATTTATTAATGACGTACTTTTTGAAGCTGAGGGTGGAACATTAACACCACATCATAAACTGGCTTATCAGCCACCTTTGTCTAATCGTTATCATTCGTCCAGTACCTATTCTAGCCGGCCAAGCTTTCAACTCTCCGCAACACCAGCACCACCGCAGCAGTTGCTACTACTAAACTCCCCTTCGTCAAATGAATATTATTCGAATCATTCATCTAGTTCCAATCCTAGCCGCCCAAGTTCTCAATTATCCGCAATATCACCAACACCACCATCGCAGCAGTTGCTACTCCAGAACTCCGAAGCTTCAATTGAACACCACTCCCAGAATAACATGTTTTTTTCCCAGTCAGAAAGTGTTCAAGAAATGGAACCGTCGGCATCATCTCGCCAGTACCAGACTGCTAGTTCTCTTTTAGCTTCATTCACTTATGCTGATAACAACTGATAACTGAACTTGTTTTTGTATTTTCTATGGAAGAAATATAATGTTTTTGTTTATATATTTAATATTTACGAAATATAATGTTTTTGTTTATATGCTTAATGTTCAAGAAATTTATAATGTTTTTGTTTATATGTATGTTTAATATTAAAAAAAATTGTTCTTACCTTCATAAAATCCTTGTGTAGAACTTCCCATATTGCTTCACAAGTTTCAGGAATAATGTAACTCAGAGCTTGAGGTGATATAATAGTGGAAAACTTGAGGTCCTCATAGGTTTTTCCAGTAGCTAGAAACCTCAAAGTTGCCGTCAGCCTTTCGTGTGCTGGGATTGCTTCTCTCATTACAGTGTCTTTTCTTTTTATCAAAGGTGCTACCAATGATAAAAGTTGCAGATACGTATCTTCATCCATGCGTAGATAATTGTGCCAATCCTTGGGAGCTAACTTCAGGTCATTCAGCAAATTCACATGAGAAAAAACGCTCCTTTTTTTCAACCAATCTTTACACCATACCGTACGTTTTTTTTTGGATTTCTTTTTACCCAAAGCAACTACTAAGCCGAGGAGTGCTAACGCGTCGTCGTCAGTAGAGGCCATGATTGAGACTGATATTTCATATTCGCCTGAACGTGTGGAAGGTGGCCAGTCCATCAGGCGACCGGTCTTCAGGCGGACTGTTCAGTTCGAACTGACAGGCCTGCCGGATCGTGTGTAGCCGGCTTTAATAATAGGCACAAATCAATTTAGTTGTATGGATCGAATTTCGCTCGTTCATTATAATCTCACAAAGCTGATATATATCCTGATCACATGATTCTTGAAGGTAAGTACTACATTCTTCTTTGCAATTCCTAATGTCATCATTACTAACAGAGTTAATATAGTTAATAGTTCCATATAATTGTGGTATCTCAAACATTGTTAGTGGTTTCCCACTGGGTGCATTCAAATTCTTCTTGCACTGTATCTTATGTGTATTCCACTCGAATGCTACAGTATCGAGATCCTTCTAAAAACCAAAACATCATCAGAAATATTATATTTCTTTATCTCTTACTTTAATTCCCATTGTGCTCGCAGTTTCCTGTGTCTAAAGCTGTTGGCTTCAAGATATTTCCATTTCGCTACAAATGTACGTGTTTTGCTTAATTAAAAAAGTTCTGCCAAAAATTAAATTGGAAAACCTCGAAAATAATGGTCTTAAAGAATTAAATAATCATCCGATTTCTTGAAAATTGGATGTGAAATGGCTTCAGAACCTTTGAAAAACATATTTAATTTAAAAGAGAGGGAAATAGCAACACGTACGTACTGGAGGGAAATCCAAAAACAATAGTGCCGGAAACTTTTAGTATGTTGATCTGGTCAATAACATTTTTGTACTACTCACCTGAATAAGTTTCAGAAAAACAAACGGTATGAGGGATTTGTCAAGGAGACTTCCATCCTGGCTTCCATCGAACCATCCGTTATCAGCAAGTCTTTGGAAAAGACTCATCCAGAATTGCGAGGAGTGCTTTCTTAATATAGACCACCATGCCTCAATTCGTTGATTTGAGGTACTTTTGCCATAAATAAATCTCCAAAATATATTTGTTCATTTGTTCAAAAAATATGTTTTCGATGCCCATATCTGTTCGAATCATTTTGGGTGTCCCACTCAATTCCTCAACCGTATCAATAAAATATCCCCCAATAACAGCAGGATCACTATTTGTTTGGGCTGCTTTAAGCCATAAAATGGTTCTTGAGAATCCATCAATACATCCATTAATCGCTATGCTATAAGGTTTTAATTTATCGTACCCATCAATATGCCATAAGGAGTTAGTGCCTTTGTTGTAAAATGTACCTTCAAAAAGAGGTTTTTTGCGGTTTTACGGTTATAACTTGTAAATGAGTAGTCCCATTGAAAGTTTTAGGGCATTAAATGCTGCATTTAATGAGTATTTTTTGAACATCCCGTTCCCATACTAGTGCTCATCGAAGAGTGAATCCATCTGGTATCCTAACCACCTTTGTACTTCATGTTCTCAAACAATATTGCAGGATGCTTCAGGTGTTGTTGGTAGGGATGATTTTACGAATCAACAATTTATCCCCTGCGTCATGATCACCACTCCGCAAAGGTGACCTCCGAAGTAGTGTGTCTTTTGCTTCGGCGACCAAGATTTGTCGCTCACTGGTGGGCAGGTCTTCCGAGTAACCATCAAACACCACACGCACTTTTCGGGTAGTCAACGTAGTTAGTGATGATTAATTGGAATGTTGCTCCATTCTTCCACACAATCCGGTGGAGAACGAAGCCAACATCGAAGACAAAAACTGACCTTTCCAAGTTTATCTCATGCAGTAGTGTAAGGAAGTGACATAACACTGATTTGGGTGTCCTCCCTAATATGACTGCATCGAACAGCGAGAGAGAATAGGGTGCCAGTTCATAATGGAAAATTTCATCGGATTTCTTGAGGAGTGCTATCCGGTGGAATAGAGTTAATGGTTCACTGGGACACCATCACCTTAGATTTGAATACATGTATAGTCATTATCTTTGTGGACAAACTGTACTTTGCCAACGGTTTAATTATCCATGGGAGCTTTGTAGAATTGCCAATTTTAAAAGCCCTATGGCAGTTGATAACAACATTAGTAACAGGGGAAGGATCATGCGATTGAAATCACACAATAATCTTCTGAAGGCCTTCAAAGCCGAAACTAATGGGCCCATTAAGCTGAAATTTGGCACCTAAGTTCCTTGGATATTGTAGCGGGGCACTAAGGATTTCCCGAAATTCCCACGGGAACGGAAAAAACGGGATTTCATGTTTTATATTTAAAACGTGTACCACCGAAGGTAAAGGTAAAAACTTCCCATTTTAGATATTTTTACGTAGAATGCAGTGGCGTATTGCCAAAAAAATTATTAGATCACCTTTTCTGAGACTTGGCCCAACACCCTAAGTTGGTATTTAAAGCAAACACCCGTTAGACACTTGGAAGGCACAAAATGAAGAGTTCAATCCCACACTTTATTACAATCATACACAAAAAACGTGTAATCCCGCTTTAGAAATGAGCGTACTTGTTGAACCCAAATCCATGACCGCCGTATCCGAAACCGTGACCGAGAGCTAAGGGAGCGGCTCCAGCGTATCCTAATCCATGTGCGTATCCAACGCGAGCGATTGGAGCCGGTGCAATCACAGGGGCGACACGAGCGAACTCGGCCACCTTGGTGATGGTTGGAGTATAACCGATTGCGGGTGGTTGAGGGACCGAGTAGCTGTATCCCGGTGTTTCCGTGTAGCGAACACGCGGTGTGATCACATCGCTCCTGTAGGAAGACGAGTAAGATCCTGGAAGGAAGTCCGTCTTGGTAACGGCCGGAGATACGTAACTCTCGTAGTGGACCGGTGCAGGTAAAGCTGCCAATCTCAACGATGGCTCCAAGTACCCGCCCTGAGCAACGGCGACGGCGGCGGCCAGAAGTAGCGCGATCTAAAAATGGAGTTAGTGAATGCAGGCTGTACGTCTATTACCTTGAGGGACATCTTGGGTCAGGCTCGAATGACAAATGGTACCGTTTGAGACTTTTGGGATATTTTTATAGCTCTTCAAATGCTTTCTCCTGCTGACTTACCCAAACGTAATGACATCCAACGAGACCGGTCTAATTACTCGCAGTAATGAGATGTGACTTAAGAAAAAGTTGTACTACTAATGTCTTTTAAATAATCTGCGGTGTATAAAAGACAGGAACTCTGCATCAATTGGCATCATTCAGTCTTCAGCGCTACTGCAATGGCTTTCAAGGTAAGCATTGGATCCTGATGTGGGGTTGCAACTAACGACTTGCTTTCAGTACGTCATCCTCTTCGTGGCCGTCGCTGCTGTTCAAGGTGGCCTCATCGGGCATTCGGCTTTGAGGCTGGACACCCCAATCATCGCGACTGCTCCTGCAGCCCTCAAGTTCGAGATTCCGCCTACTGCTAGAGTTGAACATCTGGCGCCAGTCGTTACAACCTCATACGGATACGCTACCGCTCCACTGAAACACGAAGTAATCGCAGCCGCCCCAGTCCTCCGAGTTGCCGAAGCACCCGCCGCCATCCACGTCGCAACCCCAGCCGTCTCCCGCATCGAGCACCTCGCACCTTCGGTCATCTCCTCCCATAAAACCGAAGTGATCACCGCGCCCAAGGTCCACGTGACCCACACGCCCGCCGTCGCCAGAATCGAGCATTTCGCTCCAACCGTCAAGGCTGAAGTGCTCTCCGCCCCGGTCGTCCGATCGGAGGTGATCGCCGCCCACGCACCGATCGCAATCGCCCATCCCGCCCTACGTACCGAACTCATCTCCGCACCCGCCACCGTAGCCAAGATCGAGCATTTATCGCCCGCCATCCGTTCCGAATTCGTCTCCTCGCCATCGCTCGCCTTCGCTTCCACCCCACTCCTGAAATCCCACCTCATCGCCGAGCCAACATTGAGAATCGCCGAACCCCTTGCTCTTGATCATCATTTGGCATTGAAGCGGCTAGCGTACGGACTGTAAAATGGTGGTTTCCACTGAAATGTTTAATTCAATAAACGTTTGTTGATTTGTTAATCCTTTCTCGTTTTTTACCGAAAACCTTACGCCCATGTAACCCAATCAACTTAGGTCTACGCCCTTTCACAAACTCCAACTCAAAGTTGGGAGACCCAGGATCGTTGTAATCACGAATGGTTCAGTACCGAAATCATCAACCATGATAGGTTTCCTATGACCTAAGCCTTGGTTCTCTCCCCTAGGGCCTTGAGATCGCCTGAAAGGTTGTGAAATCCCAATATTACAAGGGCCCAGGTTGATAAACTCATAAGAACTCGAGCTCTAGTTAGCAGGTATCACGATATCCAGGTTTTAAGCTCGAAAACCCACATATAACGATCCTTTGGTCCTTAGACTTTAAAATCTAGATTTCCTAAGTCGCCCATTAGGTACGATATTTTTATATCCGAATCTCCTAATGCTTTCACATCAGGTTTCTGAGATCCCAATATCTTAAGTGAGGTCGTGAGGTCATAATATCGCGTGGCCCTGAGGTCATAATATCGTGAGACCTTTAGAACATGAAATGATAAAATTCTGAGGGATGGCAAAACCGTGAAGTAAAATCCCGAGAACGAAAATTATTACTACCATAGGTTCCCACAGAACTTTATCGGGGCCCCAAAGATCCGAAATGTTAAACCGCCAAATTCCTCAAAACCCTAATAAATCAAAATCTCAAGAGCTCAAGATCTCAATATCTGAAAAGGTCTTTAGAGTTTGTAACGAGTTAATCGTCCGATACTCAAAATTTGAGGATCCCAAGGAAAATCCCAAAATTCACTTAGAACAAATACTAAGATCCATCCCCTTTGATTCTGAAAGCCCAAGATCCCTAAAATAAAAGGTAATAATCGCGAAACGGGTAAATGAATGGACAGAGAGTGTACAGAAGAAAGAAACAAATATAGAATAATAATGGAGAAAGAAAAAACAAGTTAAAAAGTAATCGTAAACGATTTACATAAAGCGCATTTCCACTTGCATTCATTTCCCATTTATAAGATGCAACTTCTGTTAAAATCGTAAAAATCCGGCCACAAATATGAAAGATAGCGTTGCACATGGGCAATCCATTTTGACGTGTTACTTCAATTTCAGTTTATGAGAAGAATTTCATTTCAATGCTTTTCTAAATAAGAAAGTTGGAACTGCGCATGCGCAAACCTAAATTTTAAAACTAATGTTAGATTTTCCTTTGTTCCAAGCGCCTAAGTATCAAATTTCGTTTAAATTCTTCCATAAATAAAAAAGTTGGCACTGCGCATGCGCAAAACCAAATTTTGAAATTGGCGTTTGATTTTTCTTTATCCCAAGTGCCTATGTATCAAATTTCGTTTAAATTCTTCCATAAATAAAAAAGTTGGCACTGCGCATGCGCAAAACCAAATTTTGAATTTGGCGTAAAAAAGTTGGCACTGCCCATGCGCAAAACCAAATTTTGAAATTGGCGTTTGATTTTCCTTTATTCGAAGTGCCTATGTATCAAATTTCGTTTAAATTCTTCCATAAATAAAAAAAGTTGGCACTGCGCATGCGCAAAACCAAATTTTGAAATTGGCGTTTGATTTTCCTTTATCCCAAGTGCCTATGTATCAAATTCCGTTTAAATTCTTCCATAAATAAAAAAGTTGGCACTGCGCATGCGCAAAACCAAATTTTGAAACTGGCGTTTGATTTTCCTTTATTCCAAGTGCCTATGTATCAAATTTGATTTAAATTCTTCAATAAATAAAATAGTTGGCACTGCGCATGCGCAAAACCAAATTTTGAAATTGGCGTTTGATTTTCCTTTATCCCAAGTGCCTATGTATCAAATTTCTTAAATTCTTCCATAAATAAAAAAGTTGGCACTGCGCATGCGCAAAACCAAATTTTGAAACTGGCGTTTGATTTTCCTTTATCCCAAGTGCCTATGTATCAAATTTGATTTAAATTCTTCAATAAATAAAAAAGTTGGCACTGCGCATGCGCAAAACCACATTTTGAAATTGGCGTTTGATTTTCCTTTATTACAAGTGCCTATGTATCAAATTTCATTCAAATACTTTTATAAGTAAAAAAGTTTGCAATTCGGTTTATAAATGGTCGAGATGCGAAAAGGGCAATGTGAATTTTGAATCGATTCGATCCAACTTTTGGCATTGCGTATTATATGGCTAAATCTATGCCCATATTGAATTTCATGCAATTCAGTTCATAACTAACGGAGATTTAAAAGCGATCGAACATTTCTAAACAAAGTTATCGTTCACACGTACAGATAGATGGACAGACAGACAAAGGAACAGACGGACAGACCAGCGTGCAGACGACAGATAGCAATGCAAAATTATAAACGATCTCTAGGATCGTTAATAAACGGCAAAAGTGTAAAATTATAGAACATGTAAAAAAACGGTTTTTTGTTTTTTTTTACAATAACTTTTTTTGTAAGCGGTACAGAAAAAATTCCTTCCTTGGTACAAGACTCGGCACCATAACGAACCAAATAGCGAAAAAAGTAGAACAATAGCTCTTAAGATAAAGAACTAGTAGCGTCGCAAAACGAGAGGACGGACGGACGGACGGACGGACGGACAAAGTGGCCACAATAGCGCATTTTTTTTTTATTTTTGTGGAAATGCGCTAAAAAGAGAGATAGAGCGCAAGGTGTTGAAAGAATATAGAAACAAATACAAATAAGGGAAATAAAAACGACGATGGACTTTTGGAAGATTAAAAACAGATGAAAAGGGAAAGGAAGAACAAATAAAGGACTGGAAGCAACACTTTATTAAGGTACTACAAGAAAGCAGGAGAAAGGGGAAAGGATAAACGAGGTAGGAGGACTAGGGAGGCGAGGTTTCCAGAGAAGAGCTCCAGGTCCCATTTTAATCTCTTTATTTTCGTAAGCAAATCCTCAATTCTCTTGCGGTTTCGGCTCACATTTACAAATGTTGTTGTTGTTGTTGTGGTTGGTGCTGTTTTTGTCATCGTAACGGATGCTCTTTCTATACCAAGATGAATATTACAGCACTCATTCCTATCCTTTATATACCACCTTCAGTTCATAAACAAACCACTTCATCTTGAGCGCAAACCTTACTTTAGCCTGGATGCAAACCTCTGATACTTTATCCCTGAGCGCAAACCTCCAACCTGATCAAATTACTTTAGCCCAGGCGCAAACCTCTTAACGCTAGTGTGATTTAGAATATATTCGTTTTAGACAAGAACCTTGACGTTAGCTCAGGCGCAACCCTCACGAGCGCAGTTCAGAACCACTCAATTTTAGTGTCCGTTCTAGGGGGATATTCATCTAGTGAGATTTAGAATCGGCCGTACACTACCATCGACAAGAACCCTCAGGCACAAACCGACTTACTTTAGCTCGGACGCAAACCTCCGATACTTTATCTTGAGCACAAACCTCGACCCCTTGACCTTGACGTTAGCACCGGCGCAAACCTCGCTACCAGAGTTCAGAACCACTCAATGCTAGTGACTTTTCTAGGGATTTTCATCTAGTGAGATTTAGAACCTGCCATATATTACTACTTGTGGGAATGTAAAGAAGTAGATGTAACAGAAGAAATCATTCCTCCCCCCTTCGCCATTTTCTACACCTTTCCTTATACCCTGTTTTCAAGTTCCTGATGAATATACTTTTTTCGTCCCTTGTTTCTACCACTACCTACCTTTCTTTTCGCCTTGTGGTTACCAAAGAGGTCGGCTAGGATCTGTCTGGCATACGTCCCTTAAACGGAATTATCCGAGCGATTCAAACAACCGTTATTAGGAGCCAGTTAGTACTATCTGTGCCAATCGTTTCTGAGTCAGGTCTATCGCTCAAAAGCGCAGACCCAAGAGATCACTGCAGAGCCAGGACTAAATAGAAAGCTATCGGGTCTGTGTAAAATAAACGGAAAAATAATGTTGGTACCTGGTCAAGAATACACAGGGATAATTATTAATAAATGATCGGTTTTACATTAATATCTGGTTGGTTAGTGAGCTATGCCAAAGGTCCTGGAAAAATATTTTTGTAGGGACAAGGAGGAGCACAACCAAGTGGGAAACTAAGAAAGAATTTAATTTCAAAGGATGGAGACGACATCCGGCGACATCTAACGGAGGAACTCTACAACACTTACTACAAGGTGTTTACAAATAAAGCTTTCACTTTTCGAGGAAAGGCTAAAACGCTCTGGGAGAGACCTCGAATGCTGTGGAAATGGTGTATACACGGCCTTTCCAAGTGACTTTATATATTTCCTGGTTTTGGAAAGCCCTTAGAGGGTATTATAGACGCATAGGTATTTGATTGTACAACGAATCAATGGAAGCTTAAATTAAGGGCAAATTCTTCATTCTCCTTAAAAATTCGAGTGTAATCGTTTTTTTTTGTGCTTTTATTATTAGTGTCTCGAAGTGGCTCTAAAGCTTGAGGCTAGATCGGCCACTGCTTAAGAGGGAGTGCATAAAATTTTATGTCATTACTAAACTCACGTCGGGAATTGCAGAATGTAAAGCCCCCAATATCCTGAGTCTACTATGGAAACAATTCCAGAAGGAGCAGGACGCTATAAATATGTTAATTTGGTACTTGGAGACTGGCGAAGTGCAGTCTTTATTCGACTTGCATCTCTAGGTATTATCGGTTTCCTCTGACAATTGTTGACGTTTCCTCCGAATGCAAAAAGTCACTTTTTATAAATCGCACGCCGAATAATTCAAAGGCCGCTTTCACATTAACTTGTTCGGGCTTAAACACTAATTTTAAAGGGACTAAAAGACTAAGCCATTTAAATCGAGAAAATTCCATTCGCGAGAGGCGGAATTATCCCGAACAAATACATTTCTGTCATTTTAACATAATTCGCAAAGTTTATACAAGCGAAGTTGAACTTTGAACGCTGACCATAATATTTCGCCAAATTGAAACTTTTCCCGATGTATTTTCCTATTCATGGCCGCCTCGA